TTGTTTTGGTCAACAATAATAAAGTGAAATACACTCACACTCACATACAGGTAGTAATCATTTACAACATAAACAAAGTTTACTTAAAAATACAACGACACAGTTCACGAAACATTAATCACAATTGATTTAAAGCAGCTCTTTCCAATTTTAATAGATATTTTGAAACTTCATCGTTCATCAATCCTTGCATTTATATCATCATAAAGCTCAAAAACTAATTTCATATTGTTAATTGTTTTGCCATACACTTTACTGTTGAAGTACCACGCGCTTTCAATTTTGGGGTGATTTTTAAGCCTATTTATTAGCTCTACATTTCTGCGACATACGTCATCGTAAAGCTCTAGATTACTCTTTGAATTCCTGCCTTTTTATCTTAATTTCAGATCTCATTAATTTAATCAAAATTGATCTTGGATAATGTCTGTTTTTCTAGGGTATGCGGTGGATAGCAATTATTACAGAAGGATTCAAACCAGCTTTGGCATTCATATTTACTATTTAACAGAATTTCACCTTCAGATCCTCACCTGTCTCCCCATTAGCTTTATTTTATTCTTCCTGGAGTACTGTTTATTTCTGTTACTAGCTATCGTTGCATTTCTGACCAATTGTTGTGATTCTAAAAATTTCAGCGTCCAATGCTAGATTATGATCTTTTAAAATATCATTTCTGGCTTTCAACGTTTGAATTTCGGCTTTATAATCATTCATTTTGTCATGAATGCCCTTAATTTCGTTAATAAATTCTCCTCTAATTTTTGATTTAATTGAAGAAATTATGTTATCTGAATATTTGTGGAGGGCTTCCTTGATCAGATTGTCAAACATCGGAACAGTTACAACGGAGCACAGTTTTTTGTCGATTTCAGAAAGTTTCCTATTGATTTCCGACAAACATTTCGGGGAGGGGTCATCATCCAGCGACATGCTTGTGCCCATTACAGCTTTGGGTTAGTTAGCTTTTCTCGGCATTACTATTGAGGATTGTGAAAAGCTACCTTAAATTATTTTTTTTACTCTTACCAGACAGGCAGTAGAAATCTACTCACTTACGTTCAAACAGGTTTCGTTACAAAGATTTTTTCACATAAAATAATTATACACTATTTATCCTATACTCTGCATAAAGCATTTTTAATCCACTTCACTCCATTCTGTCTAACGTTTCACTATGTTATAAATATTTAAACATCGGAGCCACTCGTGAAGGCGTCCACTACCTTGCTGCCATCTTGATGATGGAAATTTTGTGAAGGTCGAATTCGATGATTTTTCGATTAAAGTCTTTTGGGTTATTGGCGGGACAATCTTTCTCGGATCAGATATGATCAAATCTCAATCATAATGTTTGGGTATCAGGGTAAGAATAATTGCGGTAAAGGAAGTAGTATTCGTTATTCAGTTGATTTTGTCGACCAAATCAGTGATGAGTTTCTTTACGGAAGAAAGATTCCGTGTTGATTTGGCTTGGTTTGGTAGCGGAAATAATATCTGTTAATGGGGTGATTGGGTACGGATTGTGAACTGGCTCGAGGATTTGTTTGCATGGGGATTTACGGTTTGCCTTGGTCGAGGCTGATGAGGGTGGTTGCCTTGCTGGTCAAAAAATTCACAAAAAACAGCTTGGCTGAGGCTGGATGGCAGAGAGAAAAATAAGAAGGTGTGTGTGGAGAAAGAACTACATCTACTTGATTTGGGACTACGGGTTCGTTTTGGCGTCTGATTAGATATTTTGGTGATTCTACTCTGTGTTGGCGTTTGTCGACATGTGTCCATTCCTTCGGCCGATAGGAATATGGTAACCCTAGTCTTGGTTTCGTCGATAGTCTGGTATAATTTTGTAACGTGAAGTGATCACAGGTTGACCTTCCATCTGGAGGGTAAGGTATGTTAAGCGATGGTTACACTGCAGAACTTGGAAGAACACCCTCAAAAAGGTTGCTGTTCCCAACATATTCCATAGTTCCTGGGCGAAGCTATTTGAGAGCACTCGTTCAACCACTGCTGATGACGCTACAGGTGAATAGAGCGACTGGACTCACCATCTCCATGGATTAGATCCTTCACAAGAGCAATTTTCCATAAACTTCGGGGTCGACCTTTATCGTGCACCAATACCACAACTCCAATCTTTTTGACATTTTTCTGCCATCAGTTTAACTATGTACACGTAGCACAACACGAAACGTAAACCTAGCTGTTGAACTAAGCATGCACAATACTGACTTAGATGACAAAATATCTATGGAAGGCGAGGCGACAAGGAAATCGAATTGTACAAACAATCAAAGAGGTTACTGAATAGATATATATCTTTGGTAAAAGGAAAATCTTCATCCTTATTAACATCGGACAATAAAGCTTAATTTAGAATAAAGCTATAATTGTTCATTGCACTTCAAATCGTTCTAAAAAATTTATTTCCAGTCAATTAAACTCATTGATGACGTTATCGCTATTTTGACGCCATTGCCGAAGCGAAAAAACTGAGACGAAAAATCGAAAAAATTGTCTGTACCGCAAAACACTTTTTTGCTCTGTCAAAGAGAGTATGTCAAACTATCCCTTTTCCCAACTCATTAGTTTAATGAAAAAAGGCCATTGGGTTTTACCTCTTGTTATTTACGAGAGCTTAGACCACTCGTAAGCTTACACCAGAATTAGTCGTAAATTTATGAAAATTTTGATCTTGCGATTTTTACAAAACGCTATTTACGACTAAATCACCACTTACGACCTACGATTGATTGTAAGAATTTTTTAGAAACGGTGCCCAGCTGTACAAAATTTTCTTTCCAACAACAAGGATATCTACATTAAGCACATTCCTGAAAAATTGCCACACTGGGTGGAATGTATGACCTGTTGATTGTGGTGAAAATGGTGATCAAGAAGGTGTTACGTAGAGCTTTCATATATCTAAATGAAATATAGACACTTGCTAAAGTGAACGACAGACCAATTACATACGTATCAACGGGTGCTGAAGATCCTGAACCAATCATTCCATCAAAACTTTTATACGGTTAGAATTTTACCGCATTACCTCATCGCAAAGTATTCCGAGGAATACCATAATATATATCTGTGTGTCTGCGATATGCCTGAAAAAACTGGTCTGTAGACACATCAGTTTACGTAAATAGGCAAATGGAACACTCCTGAACTTTCTTTCAGCCATTCGTTACCATCAGATGACCCGTAAAGTCGATACCAACCGTTGAATACTGTTTAAGGTGGGTGAGACGAAAATCTAGTAATGCTGGAGAAAGTGTGAAAGTCTGAAAGGTTTGTGAATATGGTAACGACTCTGTATACATCACTACCTGATGCTGGTAACCTAAAGCGTTTACGCAAAGCTGTGGCAGTTGAGTTTACTCCTAGATACCAGAATCAGTCATTTGGCATCTTTGTCGAGCTGAACATGCTTGAGTCGGCAATCAGGTTACACCAGTTGAGTCGTAAGCACAGTTAACAACTAGTTGAGACCATTCTTCCCAGAACCCAACTTCTTGAGCAAAAATTGCGAGTTCGACTGGAAAACATTCCTTTTGAGCTCATTTAACTTATTTTGTTGAAGGGACTGGAATGACTCGAAGAGTGATACTGGTATCGTGGTGCTGTCTAGTAACCAGATGACGCTGTTTTAAGTTCTTTAGGAATCGTTGAACATGTGTCACTTTGTGAAGCATCGTTTCATAAGAACTTTATCTAGAGACATCAAGTAGCTGACTAAAGCCGCGTTTAGACAGCCATAAAAACTGGTCCACTTGAAGTGAACCGTACTCGGTCCGCACTCGGCCCGGTTGGCCTGTACCGTTTACACAGCACTGTTTTCACTGGGCCAAAATCAAAAGTAGAGCTGCTCTCCAGTCAGAGGAGGCGAAAAAAACACAAACATACAAAATGGCGCCCGCTATAAACAAAGCTATTATTTTGAAGTTTTTGTTGAATTTGTCTCGTTTAAAGCGCAAACGAATCTTGTGATTATGACGGGCACCTCAAATAGCGATCAGAGCTTGGGTCTCTTCATCACTCCATGTAGCTCCCCGTTGGGCACACATTTTAACAGTAAGTCGATCCTTTTTTGTCAAAGTTTAGCCGAGTTTGTTGTTCCCGCGAATAAAGTAACAGGGTCAAGGGCATTATTGCGCATGCGCACAAGCCCCCGACTATGTGGGCCAAGTTGGCCCGGCCAAGTGACGCGTTTACACAGCACTAATATATTGCCGTGCCGTACTCGGTCCGGACCGAGACCACCTCTTCTTGCGGGACTCGGCCCACTTGAAACTAACACGGTACACAGCCACTTTTTGTGCCAAACCGTACTCGGTCCGACCCGGATAAATTGTGGCTGTCTAAACGCGGCTTAAGTGTACCATTTGAGCAACTCTCAGTTGAAGCAAAAGTACATGTACAGGTTATGTTGCCATTTGAATATTGTTTATTAAAATGAACTGGTCCTCTGTACAAACTCTTCATGGCTGGATTATCTTCTGATATGACATTCCATTGTCTGACATCTGACAAACGTTGAATCTTGTGGAGACGAATTCTTACAAAAATGTCCAGTTTCTTGGTAGATGACAGTCATTAGAGACATAATTAATGCTAGGATCTGTCCAGTAAAATTATTTAACCACTTTAGAAAGAATAGCCAGAGTAGAATAGAATTGAAAATTAAACGAGCCTTACCTTGAGAAGGTGAAGTTTGATGAAAATTATACCTTGCTGATGACGAAGCTTGGAGGTCACATGAGATGTAGCACGCGCACTTTCAATCACAGTTAAACGTAAATGGTTCCAAACCAGATCTGATGACAACCAACAGATCTGCAAAAGGAGGTCACTAAAGGGAGGGACACTAGAATATAGTATAATATCCAATAAGAGGAGGGATGTGACCTCCAAGCTTCGTCATCAGCAAGGTATAATTTTCATCAAACTTCACCTTCCCAAGGTAAGGCTCGTTTAATTTTCAATTATACCTTGCTTTATGACGTGAGCTTCCGGTCACATGAGACTTCAAAGTTGGAACCATGAACCAACAAACATTCTGAAAACAAAATTTGTTTTAATTCAACTAAACAAATGAGTAGTATATATTATCTTACATACAAAACTAAACTCTTTAAGGTAAACAAATCCAACGGTTATTGACATATCAAATTCTAATTATTATTCAAAATAGCTTCACCAAATAATCCCTCTGTGCTCAAGGGTTTATCATAAAATTTTCGAAATGTGCAATCCTGATTCCACCCAGCTGTATCCAAAATAGATTTGCGGGGAACTTTAGCCCTGTTAGCAGCACTACAAGATGCGGATCTTATACTATAAGGAACAAAAAGAGACCGACGAGGTTAAAACTATCTTAACCCATCTAGAAATAGTATCTCGAGTAACACCATTATGAGGTTTAACAAAACTAATGAAAAGTTTATGATTGTGTCTACTTCTCAGGTTTACAGTTCTATTTAAAAACTCGCTCATAACTGTTACAATACACAACTTACAATCAGATGGATATGATTTAATAAACAGTGGCTTCTGATGATAGCCTGGTCTAGTTTGCTTCAATAGTTCTCCACAGTTAATCAAAACACCAGAATTAACAAAATGAACATTTCTAACATCAAATAAATGAATAGACTGGATACGCTGTCCAGAAAGTTAAAGTTTATAAACGCAAAGATATCTCCTTTACGGGTGATAATTCCTTAAGATAGGATAAAACAACAGACACATCCCAAATAAACTTATTACGCGGCAAAGTTGGTCTTAGATTAAACACTCCTTTTAAAAAACGAATGAAAATTGGTAGAGATCCAACAGGTTTTTTTATCAATAGATATAATACTGGACAATGCACTACGTGCTGAGTTAATAGCACTATAAGACAGTTCTTTTTGACATAAATAGGTCAAAAATTCAATAATATCATCTATAGAAGGTGAAAGGGAATCCACAGATCTCTCAGTGCAGTACCAAAACCATTTCTTGATGTAGACATTGTATTGGAGTTTAGTTGTTGGTCTCCATGAGGATAATAGTATGTTTTCAGCTTCTTTTGAAAAATTTCGACCTGAGAATAACATCCCGACACTCGGGCTGCAAGAAGTTTCATTTTTGGTAGATGAACCTTGGGATCTTTGGATGACTGAGTATTAAATCTAACCTGGATAAAACAAAGGGATTATCAGTCAACATGCGAATTAACTTACTGTACCAATATTGAGAAGGCCACCAAGGAACAATAATAAAACCCTGGCTTTCTTCTCGTTCAATTTTATTCAATACTTTTCCTATGAGACAAAAAGGAGGAAATGCATAAACAAATTTTCCTTTCCATGATTGCATAAAAGCATCTACTGCTAAGGCATTAGGATCAGGTCGAAAGGAATAAAATACATCAAGTTGAGTGTTAATACGTGTAACAAACAAATCTACATCAGGTATGCTCCAGCAATCACACAAAATTTTGAAAACAGATGGGGATAGATGCCATTTAGTATTATCAGCATGATGTCTACTTTCATAATTAGCCTCAATATTCAAAACACCAGGTAAGTGACATGCTGATAATTCAATGTCCCTGTCGATAGCCCACTGAAAAATTTCCCTAGTAAGATGATTAAGTTTATCAATCTTTCCACCTTGATGATTAATGTAAGATACCACAGTGGTATTATCAATTTCCAACCGAACATGACTATTGCTTAAATCTCGACAGAAAGAATATAAGGAAAATTGTGCAGCTAACAATTCTAAGTAATTTATATGGTTTAGTCTTTCTAAGGCGGAAAAAATACCAGCAGTTCTTTGGGTATTACATACTCCACCCCATCCTTTAAGACTAGCATCAGATTGAATAACCAACTGAGGCTCAGTGGATATCAGGGATTTGACTGAAAACTCAATGTTATCATACCACCATTTAATATCTGATAAACAGTCTGCAGGTAATCTAATATACACATCATAATTACCTTGATGTAGCTTTAACATGGCTGTTTTATAATTATCACAACAACGATAATATAACTGAGCATATTTGACTCCAGGTTGAGCAGCTACTATTAATCCAATTAACTGAGAAAATTTTCGAATGGTCAACCAATTAACCTTTAAAATAGATAAACGTAAGGTTTTAATTTTTTCCACTCTAGAGGGTGTTAAGTTTACAGTCATACTGACTGAATCTAAGATACAACCTAAATATTGTATTCTCTGACATGGCTCAAAAAACTATTTTTCATATTGGATAGTGAAACCTGCTTGTACAGACATTACTATGGTGTCAATAACATTAGCTCTGCAGTCGGAGACAGAATTCCCAAATAACAAACTGTCATCTATAAAGGAACAATTAAGTTGGCCTTTATTCCTTAATTCAGAAAACATAACCTTAGTTAATTTAGTGGACAGAAGAGGGGATGAGGCCAATCCTTGAGGAAGACAGGTAAACTGATACAGAGTGTCTTGCCAAATAAATTAAAGAAACTTTCTGTAACTATTCTTGACATTAATGCTATAATAGGCATCTTTCCAATCAATAGAGGCCATGTAGCACCCAGGATGAACTAAATTTATAGCTTGTTGTAACGTTTCCATTTTGAAATGATGGTAAGATATAGAGTCATTTAGTTCTTTTAAATCTAAAATAATTCTTAAACTACCATCTTTTTTATCTGTTGTAAATATATTAGAAATGAATTCATCTTCTTCATGAGAAGTTCTTTCAATGATTCCTTTTGTCAAAAATTTATTTAATTCCATGGAAATAGCATCAGTCTTAAATGTGCTATAAATATAAGGTCACGGAGCCAAAATTTGTTTAGGAACTTGTTCAAATTCTAATTCAACACCATTAATCATAGACAGAATAATCTTGTTAGAAGTAAGAGATTTCCAAAATTCAACACTCTTTCTCAGTTTACCAGCTTTAAACATAGAAACCAACATTGGAAGGAAGTTGGATAAAACTCACAACTGATCTTTCCACTGATTTAAACTGCTCAGTTTACTCACCAAAGATTGTCTTAATTTTGCTTGCTTGAGTAACCTTTGCGAAACTTCTGGTTTTTTTTGGAAAACGATGAAAGGTTTGGTTCTGGTTGCCGGTCCTACTCCCGGCCTGATTTTGAGATAAAAAAGTGTTTTGCCTGAATCTTGGAGCCGTATATGGAGAGTAGGAAGTATTATTATGGTAGGATCTTTCCTTTTTATGTCTAATTGGTCCATTACTAGTGCTGGCCACAACACCAACTTGACTGGAATCCTTAAATTCTTTAACCTTTTCCCCCAATCATTTCCAAGAAACCACTCAGAACTACCAGTGTCTAAATGCTGGCTCATATTGCACAACATCTTAAAATTATTATTCATATCTGGTTTCAAGCTATCTCTTCTCAATTGATTCATTTCTAAAATTCCGCTACTCAAAATAGATATGCTATCCATTGCCATACGTATAATGGTATTCAAATCTTCTTCTTTAACAGAGCTCTTGTCTTGAACTTTTAATGCCATTATCACTTATATTCGTTACTGAATAGGCAGCTTTAATAAACCTATCTTCTATTCTTTGATATTTAACATCTCGTGATCTAGTAAATCCTTTCACATTATTCCACATTTCAGTGTTAATCTTAGGCACATGCAGTTCAATAATTTTAGGCCTTGGGTATTTGTCAAAAATAGCATGTATTTTGTCATCTGACATCAAAGTGGAAAACAATTTGTTGATTATAATTGCCAATTTTGGTCTTATTTTATTACCAACAACCTCTGAAACTGAATATTCTTCTTCCAACAAGTTTTCAAAGGCATCAACTTTGGGATCAGGTCTCTGCCCCTCCAGTTCTTTTTCTACTGCACTCGACGGTACAATTTTTAGGATTCCTCCGATAAAAGTTTATCAATTTCATCAACTACATCGCTGTCAGATATTTGGCAGATACCTGGATCTTTCTGAGTAATCAGATAATCGTCGTCGTCGGTACTAGAAGCAGACGTCGAAATATCATGAATTTTCCCCGGTTTTCTGCTTTTATCATACCTGTAGCAAGATTCTGTAGGTTTGTAGGTCATGGCCGAATCATTATCCACTTGTTGAGATTGTCGTAAAAGTTTGTTTTGATTTTCTATCAATTCGTACAATTTTGTACAATTCTGCAAAGGCATCATTATGAAGAGATTTCATTTCTTCTCGCAAGATGGTTAAATTATCATCTTTCGAAGGTACAACAGACTTATCTTTTTGTACTTCGGTGGAATAAGAATCACTGCCTCGGTTGGGCTTAGTAGCAGACAATATGTCGGTTTTCTGACCTTCGACCTTTTCACTCGCTCTCAACAACTCCTTATTTTTACCACTCGGTCTGCTTGGACTTCGAGATTTCCCACCAGAACTGGTCACAGTGGCAGAGGCAGGTTTTCTCCTTTTTGGTTTATCAAATAAGGCTTTAGACATGTCAAATTCAGTGTTAATTTCCTTAGAATTTTGACCACTGATTATTGTCATTTCTGACTTCGGTCCCGAAGTCGATGAATTCGCCATTTCTGCTTACAGAAAATAGACGACAGATTTCTCGATCACCGAAAAGGTGGGTGAATCTTTCTTATAAAGAAAGTCACTAAAGATTTTTAGTTTCACCAGCTTACTAGGAAACTCGAAAATTCGAGTAATTCAGACGTTCAGACACACGTCTTGAAACTTCGAAAGCGGCATGCAAAGTGATTGAAAGCGCGCGTGCTACATCTCATGTGACCGGAAGCTCACGTCATACAGCAAGGTATAATTCGTATGTTTGATGCTGCTTCGATGTTCAGGGCAATATCATGGTACTCAAGATGGAGATGAGCAGGACGAGGTGTATCCCTCTCATAATAGGATGAAATTTGTCGCTTGACAGTAACTGGAGATAGGAACTTCAATGGATCAAATGTTAAGGAGGCCAAACTTACAGCTGAGCATTTAGTATCTACGTGATGATAGCACACCATATCAAGTAAAGCAGTATACTCTGTCGTAGATCCAGTAGCGATTCTTGACATTGACATTGAAAGAGGTTATTGACTCTCGGAACAAAGAACAAAAAAGAGGCTTAAGTAATAAGCACCCGCTTCCGTTCAAGGAACTTCATCTTATATAGTACGGTTCCCAAAGTTGAAGTTGAAGCACCCAACATTGCGTTGCAGTCGTATTAGCTGTAGATACTTCGTTGTTGACTGGACCATGAACTAAATAACCAAAACTGGATGCTTGTACAAATGTACACATGTCACCAAAATCTAGCATTGTTTGTCTAATCTCGGCAACAAATTGTGTACCAGGGATAACACAAAACTGACTGGCTGGTGTAGCAATTGTAATTGTGCATTTTTAATAATTTTATTTTAGTGATTTACATAGAAGATTAGATGGTTACAACCTCATGCCACGTTGTCGTTGTAGGACGGCATGCTCGGGAGTGTCGAAAACGAGGCTTTGGTACAAGTTCGTCTTTTTGGTATAAGTTCGTCTGTGTTAAGGACTTTCGTGTTGTCGTTCGTACATCAAATTAGTCCGAGACACTGAACTTAAATTGTCTGAAGATTCCACTAGTATCGCGTCCCTGAGAGGATTTATAATATCAATCAAGTTTGATATTGTTTCGGATAGTTTTGTCGCCTGCACCACAGACCGTCATCATCCAATCCTTTCAATAGGCCATTTGATGTCTATATTAGATTTCGGGGAAGGGAGGGATTGATTCTCCCAAATGAACAGGCCTAGGGTGGAGCAGACAATTTATTTAGAAATTAGGATTAAGGGTATTGATATTGGGTTTTCTTCTGTTCTTATTCTGATCTGAAATTAGAAAAAATAACTAGTATAGTATAGTATCTGTTATGTACTGATTGTTTTTAGTTTACTATGAACAATATTATCATTTAAGTTCTTATTTTTTGAATATGCAACTATCATTTTCTGCTTATAGACATGGGGGAATTTCTCTTGAAGGCTCTTATAGTGGGCATGAACTATCTTGCTTGCTCGATTGCTGGTTGTATTAAACGGGACAACAAAGGGTGCTATGCCTACATTATGATGAATATTTAGTCCTATAGGTCTTGCTGTATTCAATGTCTCAATTCAATGGGCTTCCCTAGATTGACGGAATTTGGTAGTTTCATCTTCGGGGAGGTCAATTTCTATACGCTCAGTTGGGATTAGCGTGAGATCGTCTATTGAATGGTCGTCGAGGTTGAATGATTAGAAACAGGCTTGTCTTTCTTTAATTTGATGTCTGACCTGTGAGCATTAAAGCAAGTTCGTAAATTATTCTTAGTTTCTCCTACATATTGTTTGGGGCATTTCTTGCATGAAATTAAATATATTACATTCGAATGTTCACGTTAGATGTTCCTGGATCGAGTACCTTTTATTCGTAGAGTTGCTTACAAAATAATGAGTTTCTGATATAAAGGGACATGTTTTGCATCTACTGGACAAACATGGAGCACTTCTTAAACCTGGAGGTATTTCGGCATAAAGTCTGTTTTTAGCTGCTATCTGTGCTAAGGTGGAATTTTTTTATGTTTCGTAAAAATCGTTTAGAGTACCCACGCTCTTTCAGTTTTGAGAAAACAATCGTACAGGCTTGGTTGAAACCAGAAGATCTTGTACAAATTCGATGAAATCGTAAAACTTGTGACTAAATTATACCAGAAAAGGTATGTTTTGGGTGAAAGGAGCTCTTGTGCAAGAGTTGATGAGTATCAGTTTCTTTGAAATACACTTTAATATTCAGTTTATTTGTTCCCAAAACTGTTTGATAGAATAGTCCAAAGTCCAAACCATAAAAATGTCATCCAAAAAGCGTCCGTAAAAAAGTGGGTCAAATGGACAGAGGGGCAACACCTCACGTTCCCACTCTGCCATGAAAAGGTTTGCGTACGAAGGGGCGAATCGTTTGCCCATTGCTGTCCCTGAAGTTTGTTAATATGTTTTACCATTAAATGTGAAATCGTTTTGACTAAGACAAATCTCTAAAAGCTGTAGAATTGCATCGTCGGGTCTGTTTGGATCTGGGTTTCTATTAAAAGCTTTACGAACTGCCGTTAGATCAGTAGTGTTATCGATATTGGTATACATAGAAGAAATGTCGATAGAAATTAAAATAGCATTAGAGGGAACTCGAAGATTTTTTATTTTATTGACAAAATCGGTTGGCTCGATGTTGACATGCTAGAGGTAGTAAGAAATGATCAATGTATTCTGACACTGCATATGACTCACTACCACAGTCAGATATAATCGGGTGGCCTTTAGGGATTTTATTCGAGATAAACCACTCCTTGGTTGGATTCTTATGGATTTTAGGCAAAGTGTACAAATGTCTCTCGCGACAATCAGGTTTGGCAGACAGATAGTCATATTGTTTCTGTTTGAGATAATTAGTTTTGACTAAATCGGCAAGAATATTGTTAGTCATGTTAGCAGTTTCTTTGAAAATTGGTTTCGGTAAAATGGCATAAAGTTTAGGATTATTCAGTTGATTCTCTGCTTCTGAAACGTAATCCTCCCTATTCAGAATGACACAACATGAACCTTTGTCACTCTTTTTAATAATAATGCTATCGTCTTTCTTAAGTAAGTTTAACGCTTCACGTTCCACTCGTGTGAGATTAGGCTTTTCGTGTGTTATGGAAAGGTTAACTGTGGGGGTGTCCACGTGGATTTAGGAATAAACATTGTTCTAGCACCACGTGGGGGGTGGTTTCGGAAAAAATATGTGCAGCTAAGATTTCGTTGAAATTGTTCAATGGATGGTCGGAGAAAATTCAAGTTAGCTATCTTTGGCGTGGGAATAAATTTAAGTCCACGGTCTAAGATTGAATGCTGATGGGGTGTAAGAATTTTGCGGCTCAAGTTAACTACAGTTTGGCCTAGCGGTGGCCTCTCAGTATTTTTATCCCCAGTAATTAATTTAAAGACTTACTCGATGCTTGAAGCTGGTGTATCCAAAACAAATAAATGCTGTTTCTGGAGACCAATGAAGATTATCAACTGGTTCGAATTCTTCTTCGTAGGGTGGTAAGATTGTTGCGCTGTTGATACTGGACTCCATCATCATGTTGTTGAGAGTGCTGAGATTCTGTTGTGCTTTCTTCGAGATTTTATTTGAAATGGGTATACATGTGAAGAGGATCTTGGAGTTTGGGAAGGTTTTGTTGGCTGTGGCGATTAATTTCTGGGCTTGGTTAAAGGAGGTCTTTGGTAGCTGATCACGGTTGTTGAGGCCTACATGAAGAATAATGGTAGTAGGTTTGGGATCATGGTCGTATGATTCCAGGATTGACTGTATGTGATGGATTTGGGCACCGGGGTAAGAATGTATTTCAGTGTCTGAACTGGTTTTGGTAATTCGATTCAGGTTAGATGATCCAATTATTAAGGTAGATTTCTTTAGAGCAGGTAGCTTCCATAATGATTTGTCCTTGGTTTGGTGATAATACGTTTTGGTAGCGGATATAATGGTCGTCGACGGTGTGATTGGTACTGGTTTGGTAGTTGTTAGAATTGTAGCATTGGGAACTGACTGGGATCTGGTTCGAGGGGGGAAGGTCTGGATACACGTCTGGACTTGGATGGAGACTGAGGGGTGGTTTGCTGGTCCAAAAACGCACAGAAGGAAGAAAGGTTGGCGGATCCTCTCTATGTGGACGTATATTGTCGGCACCTCTGTCCGTCCGTCGGTCCGTCATTTGCTTGTAAACGCTCTAAAAACTAGATTTTTTGATGGAATCAAATGAAATTCGGTATGTGTATACATATTCATAAAACGAAGATCAAGTTTGAATTTGAGCTTATTTCGATCGTTAGAAGCAGAGTTATTGCCCTGTCTATCCACCCGTCAACATTTGCTTGTAAACACTCTAAAAATTATTTTTTTTTATGGAATCAAATAAAATTCGGTATGTGTAGACATATTCATAAAACGAAGATCAAGTTTGAATTTGAGCTATTTTCGACCGTTAGAAGCAGAGTGATTGCCCTTGCCAAAAATCTTGAACATTTACCATCCGCATGCCGCGGTGGGCGTATATGGCTTTGGTCCACTATCTTATAATTTTCGTATACCTGAGCTACAGAAGTATCTGAGAGATAGAGGCGTGACAGATACAGGCTACAACAAAGACGTTTTGAGAGAAATAGCTATCGCTGTCGATAAACTTCGATTGCCCGTGGACCCCGATTTTAGTTGCGAATATGTGGAAGTTTGTATTGAGAAAAACTATTAAAACTATTACAGGTGTGAACCCTTTTGAATTGGATGGTTATACCAAGGATTTCAGTGTTAGAAACATGATCGTCTTGGTTGTTATATAGAAAATATAACTGAAGTTCTTATATAGTTTATTCCGATAATGTTAGTCTACAGGTGGGTTCCTTATTGCCTCATATTGGTGGATTGACTTTACGACCTGAACTGACTAAAAACGATGTTGTCTTGGGTTATAAAGAGAATACAGCAGTAAGGGACATTACAATAGAAAACAGAAACGTTAGTATGTAAGTTAATAGATGATAGATAAGAACATGGCATAAGACACAAATAAAAACTACTAATCTTATTCATTAATGGAGAAATACTATTTATTCCATTGTTTCAATGACATTGGTAGATAACCACTCTCGCCTGGTAGTTGATAATCATTGCGTGATAACCATCTTCATATATTTCGGCCACTTGGCCACCTGGAGAGTGACGTATACTAGATTAGAGGCGACCGAGTTTTCGCTGGCAGATAAAGTACCTTGGAAGATGCCAGAGTGCATTTTCCAACATACGCCCCAAGAGCGTAATACTCGGTCGAAACAGCACAAGAAGATAATCTAGTTGACGGCTGGGTGATGTGATAAATGAGAGTAAGATGTAATATAATGAAACTGGACACATGCATATGACGTAAGTAACACAAAAAACCTATAAACTATCCACATGCATATAGGCATAAAGCTCAAAACACATAACAGTCTATATTTGGTACTGGTTAATACACATAAGTATGAAGTTCGTTTTAACACACATAACAGCTTATCTTTGGTAGTGGACATTGGTAATCAATGGTGGTCGTAGGTGGAAGAGGACAGGACTACATACGCGACTCAATTTCAACTTATTAAGTAGGTTACCATTTATCAAGGTTGCAGGTCAAGATAAACACCAGTAATCATCTGTGGTCTTGTTATCGTAGTGCTTGGGTGGTCACTTTCAGAAGGCAACTGGATAACAGAACTATGTAGCTTCATTAAGTATTTTAAAAGAATTAGTTCTAGAATATAGTCGTTGGTGTTAACACTGTGTATTCTTAAAATGTTCAGCACTGGATTACCAGACATTAAGTCATGGATATTAACACTATGTATTCCAAAATTGTTCAGCACTGGATTATTAAATATTAAATCATGGATATTAACACGATGTATTCCGAAAATTTTCAGCACTGGATTATTGAAATGGATTATAAAAATTAACATCGACATTAACATTAACTAGCTCAGGTTTGTATCTCTATTTGGCATTAGTCTCTGTAGATACTGTACTGGTTAGGTTGAGCAGGGTTCTTAAAGGAACGTCGTTCGCTGGAGATGGAACGGTAGGATAGATCGATTTATGGGTGGCATCGTAAGATCGATTGATGGGTGGCGGATGCAACATCAGGAGGAGTGAGCTGTGTAGTCATTGGTTCGTTCTCTATAAATGCCTTACCACTAATGTTTTCATTTTTCGATACACCATGTCTCACTAAAGGGAAGAATTTCTTAACCACGTAAGGTTTGATAAATTTACCAATCATAAAATAAGTTAGCATAACAGCAGAAGCACATCCAAAACAGAGTATACACCATTTCCAAATCGGTCAATGTTGATCAATATCAGGTTTGACTTTCGTCATAGTAGCAATTTCGGAGACCAATTGGTCTATAGGGATTTTGTCAAAGGCCAAAGGTCGGCAATGGATTCGTTAAAACTGTTTGTTAAATTTGCAAAAGAAATTTCATCAAAATAAGTACTTTCGTTTACCAAGTCATTTGATCGTTACTAGCGCTACAATTAGGAGCAAGTCGAATAATTTTTAACGGACGTTTGGCGAGAATCGATTGATGTTTGGGACAGGAATTTAGACAATTAATTGAGAATCGTGTCTGTTGACGCAACACAACTGTCCAAAATCCGTTGACAATATATTCACTCATAGTCAGAATACCGTTAGTAGTATAGGGCCAATTTGGTGGCACGGGGATTCCCCATTCCATGGGGAAAGTGCGACCAAATTGAAAGGTCCCAAAAAAAGACCTAAACTCCCTACATTTCATAAATTCTTACACCAAAAAACCTATACACCCTACATTTCATAAATTCTTACACTAAAAAAAACCTATACTCCCTACATTTCATAAATTCTTACACCTATACTCCCTACATTTCATAAATTCTTACACCTATACACCCTACATTTCATAAATTCCTACACTAAAAACACCTTCAATCAATTCCTACATTCCATCAAAAAAAGCATATTAAAAATACCCTTATATAAAATAACATAACATCCGGTATTAAAATAGCCTCGTTTTAAATAATGTTATTTTTAGTCTAGAAACTTCTAGAAAGGGAGATAACTCTTTTTTGGAAAAAAAACAGACCACAATTTTCTACTCAATTTTAAACCTTAAAAATGGCAAATAAAATATTAGATCCAATCTTTAGATTATACGATCCGATTCGTTATTCATTTAACAAGAAAAAAGAGGATTATATTATCATCTCACCGACTGTTGGTTCTATATCCCAATTGAATGATGGTGGTAGAATTACCTTCGAAATAAATTCATTATCGAATTGGTTGTTTCTTATTTCAGATGCGATTTCAAAATCAAAGGCGCCACTCAGAATCAAGTTCCACAAAAAAATACAACGTTAGAAAACAATTTCTTTCCATTTTTATTTAGCGATATGGCTTTGGAAGCTGGTTCAAATCCGATAGAAACAATTAAACACCCTGGGGAATTCGACACAATGTTGAAAACAGTTTTATATCCTAAAGATTTCTATTCAGTCTCAGGTTGGATACCCGATGTTGGCGATGGAAGTGTTTTAAAAGAACCGATAAGAAATCTTGCAAATGATGCTGATTTAGCAGTAATAACTCCATCAATTGAAGTAGAAACGAGAATATTCAACTCATTAACTAAAGATATTAAGATAGCTTTTCTTCATCGTAATACGGTAGGTAGCATGACTTTAACTGGAGAATCCACCACGTGGCCAATCACTAACACTATTAAACCAGCAAGATATTTAATGGTTGGTTTCAGGAACTTACCAGACTCTCAGACGAATAACAATAATGTCTTCAGAGTGGCAATGAACCAAACTCAAGATCCTATAATGCATAAAGTTCAAGTAAGATTAAACAACGATAATTATCCTAACCAACCTTTAACAATTAATCCAACTACAAAGGATTATAATGAATTGTATAGAAACTATAAAAACATGTGTGAATTATTTAGTAATCCACCTCAGTTTGAATATGTAGATTTTGCACTTAATCAACCAATCTGCTGTTTTGATCTATCAGCTCATCAAGAAGATCTTTTCAAAACAGGAGTGAACATAAATATTCATATTAAAAAACACAAGGAGAGGTAACCGGTTATTGTTTACTACTCGAACAAGCAAAACATTTAATTAAAATAGCTGATAGAAGAATGATAAGAATTGAGTAAAAAATACCCCCTTAATGAAACGAGAAACTTTAGTTATGAAAATAATAGAAGCTGTTGAAACAGATTCCCTAACTGTAATAACTTTCAATGGTAAAAAAATCAACATAACTAAAAAACTTATTGATAAATACAAATACTGTAAAGTCAGAGATGATATAGACTTAGAAAGAATTGACACAAATGTAAAAAAAAGGTGGATTTATATCTTCCCACCTTTGGTTTTTGATGGTCTTACCGCGGCGGGTGCAATAGCTGGAAGTGCAGTTGCTTTAGTAAGTACTGCCAACGAAAAGAAAGCAGCTGATGCTACAGCCGCCGAAGAACGCAGACATAATTTAGTAATGGAAAAGGAAGCACAGAAATTACCTTTTGCAAAAAAAAGGTTCAGGAGTGGGAGATATGATAGGCACAATAAAAGAATTTGGAAAAAGATTTGGGGAAGAAACCAAGAAAACTGTTAAACAAGGATTCAATAAATTAATAGATAGTATTGACACAGGAGAAGTCAAAGTTAACATAAGGGTAATGGAATATTTTTAAAAAATATACACACTGGAGAAGGATTATTCCTTTCAAAGTATAAAGGAGAAGGAGTGATTTTTGGAATAAAATTAAATAATAAAAAATGCTCATGTGTATATGCGGTAGTTCAGGTTCTGGGAAAACTCATCTCACTTTTAACATGTTGACAACACCAAACCTTTTAGATTTCGATTCAGTATATATCTACACAACAACACCAGAGCAATCGTATTATCAATTCCTCAAAGCTTTAGAATATTTACCAAAGAAAGATGTTCAAGACATATTTCAATATTACGAAGTCAAGGAGGAAGAAGTGGAAATAAAATATATCATAGATAACTACATTGAAGCAAAGAATCCAACAGATATAAATATTTTTCTTACGAAAAATGTTAATGACCTAGACTTGTCTAATATTGATAGCAATCGAAAGAACTTAATATTGTTTGACGACTGCGTAGAAATCAAGCTGTTCAACAAGAATTGTCACTGCATATACCAATCCCAATCTTTTTACGGGATGGATTCTATGTTCATTAGAAAAAATGCAAATTGTTTTTTATTATTTGAATTAAACGACAAAGATTTATCTCAAATCATTAAATCGATTAATCACCATTAATAGAGATGCATTTAAAAAGGTTTGTAAAACTCAATGGAAAAACCCAGATGATCATGGATATATATTCGTTAATACTAGAAAACCTGCAGGTGAAAGTTATGACAGATATATGTTAATTTTATTTTTTTAAAAATGAGTAGCGATTGGAATAATATTTTAAAAAGAAATAGAGAATATATCAAAGCTAAAAATAAAATAAAGACCCAAGTTGAAAAAAACAAATTACAACTTGGATTAACAGAAAATCTACAAACTCTATTTCAACCAATATTAAAATCTCAAGAGAATATTAAAAAGAAATTAGCTTTAGAATATAGACCTCCTATAGAACCCACACCTCCTATAGAACCTCATCACCTCAAAGCGATTGAATATGGTGGTATTATAATTAGGACAGTAGATGATGTAAAACATTATTTTTCAAACCCTGGCCCAGATATACCAAAGAGCATTTCACCAATCGTTGATGAAGCGGGGCTAATGTTTAATGGTTTTAGAATAAGATTTAGTCCAAATACCCCCGAATTTATAATCAATACAAAATATTATATATACACATTAACGAGAGGATTAATAGATTTAATGAATGGCGAGGATGTTGTTGGTATTGCCGATTATATGGATTTAGTAGCATACTCCAAATTTCTAGATGCAATAACTAAGTCGGGACCCGAAACAAGAAGATCGAAAGAAGTTAAACTATATAAAAGCGTAATTGAACGTGATGAAGAGGGGCTAGGTGATTATGCATAAGAGTATCCACCAATCACACAAGAAATAGACGAATTCGATGATATGGTGGCATCTGGACAAGGTATAACTTTTTTATCCGATAATAATGAAGAATTGCTTAATAAATTAGAAATAATATTAGCAGCAATGAAGGAAGGACATCGATCACACAGACAATATAATGAAGTAAATTGTATATTAAAAAGACTCCTAGAGAAAGATATTATAGATAAAAATGATTATAAAAGCGTGATTAAAAATGTCAAATAAAGAACAACTATTCGTTATCACCTCAAATAAATCAGACATTAAATTGTCTCTAGATTATGAGTACGAACTCGATCGCAATCAAGAATATGAATTGGGATTAAAGTATTTCTCTGTTTACAATTCCATTAGAAATATCAACGAAAAAAATAACCAAATAAAAATATCAACAAATAATGGATTTCGGGGAAGGGAGGGTTTGATTCTCCCAAATGTACAGGCCTAGGGTGGAGCAGACACTTTATTTAGAAATTAGGATTAAGGGTCTTGATATTGGGTTTTCTTCTGTTCTTATTCTGATCTGAAATTAGAAAAAATAACTCGCCCGATGGGCGAGAAGTATAGTATCTGTTATGTACTGATTGTTTTTAGTTTACTATGAACAATATTATCATTTAAGTTCTTATTTTTTGAATATGCAACTATCATTTTCTGCTTATAGACATGGGGGAATTTCTCTTGAAGGCTCTTATAGTGGGCATGAACTATCTTGCTTGCTCGATTGCTGGTTGTATTAAACGGGACAACAAAGGGTGCTATGCCTACATTATGATGAATATTTAGTCCTATAGGTCTTGCTGTATTCAATGTCTCAATCCAATGTGCCTCCCTAGATTGACGGAATTTGGTAGTTTCATCTTCGGGCAAGTCAATTTCTATACGCTCAATTGGGATTAGGGTGAGATCGTCTATTGAATGGTCGTCGAGGTTGAAATGATTAGAAACAGGCTTGTCTTTCTTTAATTTGATGTCTGACCTATGAGCATTAAAGCGAGTTCGTAAATTATTCTTAGTTTCTCCTACATATTGTTTGGGGCATTTCTTGCATGAAATTAAATATATTACATTCGAATGTTCACATGTTAGATGTTCCTGGATCGGGTACCTTTTATTCGTAGAGTTTAACGAATACCTATCTGAATATGGAGGAAGTGCAAATGGTAAAAACAATATTGAATTCGAAGGTAATTTGAATCTGAACAAAATAAAATTGATATTAAGAAATAATAGTCAAGTTGATTTCAACGTAGAAAATACATTGAATGCGTTACTAGGATTTTATAAACAAATATACACGCAATCCACTTTAGCACTACACAAAGCTAATATCGAGAATGATATCGATGTCATAAATATACATTGCAATTTAATAAACGGTGGATTTTTTCAATAAATACAAATGTCAGATTATTTACAGTCTTCCAACATTCACTGTACCGATAGGATATATAGAAACCATTTCAAACGACGTATATAAATCTGGAAATCAAAGATGGTAAAAATAAAAAATAAGTTTATAGATTTTGGTAACGAGGAAATTGTTATACAACTTCATTTAAAACAAAAAAATTAACACTCTTCATTCTCTTCTTGAATAGTAAGGTAATCGAAATCATCAAATTCATAGTTTTCATCCAAACTCAAGTCATCTTTCTTACAACCCAGCTTCATTTAATTTATCCCAATTGCTAGACTAAATGTACAAACTATCAGTATCTGTATAGTATATTTCAGGCTTATAAAATCCATCTATTACGTGAATAAAATTATTCATTATTTTTTTACTGTGAGATAATACGAATGATCCCAAATGACTAGGTGTTAGTCGTGTAGATTTAGGAGGTGTACAGTCAAATTCTTTTTCTTCTTCATTTATCTCAACGATATATTGAGTCTCATTTACTTTAGGATAGCTTTTTGTCGTGTGAATCGAAGTTGGTTTTTAAAGTTGCTTCACTCCATAAATGTCTCGATGTAGTTATATATTTCTGAATAGATTTACCATACAATGAATTACCTAATAATTTCATGCAATTACTACCTACGATATTACCTTCTCGTTTATATTTATTTCTTAGATCTCTCAAAATTAAAATATAATCTCTATATGGTGGAGTTTTAAAATTTTCTTTGTATACTATACCATCTAATATTTTAATAATTCGTCCACCGGCTTTAACTATTTCTTGAATGTCGACCGATGTTAAAACTTCTGAACAGAAACCATTTCTGAACCTGATTTTAGTGCCAGTTTCCTTATTACCTTCTTTGTTCGTAAAAGTAATTTTATCTTTAGCTGGTATGGGTTGGAAGAACATCTTGGTAGGATATTCAAATCAGACTTTTAAAATAGCCGTTCTAGGTCTGAATTTCTGCTCATTAAAGAGCTTAACAAATTCTTTATTTTCCTCCTTTAATGGATTGTCTGATAAAATATCTTATAAAAGGGTGTGTATGTGAGTAAACTTTTTTCTTTGTCTTATAAAAGGGTGTGTATGTGAGTAAACTTTTTTCTTTTTCGGTGTGTTTCGGAACCATTTTAGTAGTTTCATACCATTCTTCTTCAACCATTTCTTTATTGTAATAATATGAATAATACCAACCCTTTAAAGATAAAGAAGGAGCCGTTAGATTATTGGAAATATTCTGGAATACAACTTCTTTCATAACTTTGTTATATTTTATCAAACAAGCTCTGAGACATAACGTATCTGTTTTAGCGTAAGGTTCCCATTCGTGTCTTAAAGATTCCCAATTATCTTCGGTGTATTTTGCAATATTAATATTGGTGATCTTTCTCAAATTCATCGGTAGATTAGATGAATTTCCCCATGCCGCCAAACTATATTTTTCATGTTGATAGGAACATATGAAATTAATATTTTGCGAACAATTAGAGTTGCCCATTATTTGTTTTTGTCTTTTCCATTTTTTTTTTGTAAATATTCATCGGTGAATGAATTAGTTAAAGCTGTTACTAGTGGACATTGCGTTAGTTTTTTCGCATTTTTAAGCACGATCCAGTTATCAAAACCGCTACCGTTATGAGAAATTAATGTTAATGTTTTTAATCTATTTTTCCTAAACGTTGCAACATTTGATCGATGCAATCTTTACCCACAAATATTTCTACTATATTAATTAATTTATTATAAAATTCTTCTGGAACACTATCAGTGGGATTTAAATCTGGAAAGTTATGTTTTATTCTGTCTAACATTTTTCTTAGTTTTTCTAAATTAATTAACGTGCAAGAATAAGGAATGGCTTTATTCGTTTCCTTTTCGCTATGGGTTTCGCAATCCCATGCGTATAAACAATCATCGAGAATTGTTGGAAAAACGTTTAGTTTTAGAGGTGAAACTTGTGTTACCGCATTTTCATCTTTACAAGTTCTCCATACGTTTCCATCGTAATTATCTTCTATTTCTATAATGCCTAAGGTTTTGTTATTTCTTCTAATGAGACAGAAATGCGATTTATGTAAGTAAAATACCCAATCTAATTCCTCGGATACTTTCTTTGGTTGAAAAT